AATACAGTCTTTGAAACTTTACTATGCTGAAGAAAAATGCAGTCTTTTAACCATCTTAATTTAAATGAAACAAGCACAGTAAAGTTTCCCTTACCTTGTTCAAATTTTTTTTTTTTTACTAGTTTATGTTTAACACAGTACTGTATTAGCTTTTTTTGGTCTCTGCTGCTGTCTGATTGCATACTTCTGGTTCAAATGAGGAGTGTGGTTGACCAGTCAGTTCATAAACTCTGGTGTTCTACTGTATGTGATCATATAATTAAAGACTGTATCATAATGCATATGCACAAGTAGGCCAAATTAAGGTAGCAAAGGCAACCTTAATTCTGGAATTTCATAACGTTTGTTTGCTGGACTTCGTAACCTTAATAATGTTCTTTTAACATAGCTCTGTGTGTGTAATTTGCTAGGTTTCTAAAAAGCAAGTTGGAAAAAAAACCAAAACCCCCAGAAATTTCATCATGTGGCATCATACTGACACGCACAATTCATGAGCAGAGCTGGAAACTTTAGATTCTCCACACAGACCTCTGCTACTCGAGCCAGCTGATAACAGTAGTAGATTATCATTCGCTGTGTGGACCAACACTACAGGCAGATGAAACGTACACTTTGCCAGTGGGTTTCACGGACATTTTCTGACAGCAGAGAAATGGGGAGACTGAGGAATCTTAGGTACCATTCCACACTCTGGAGGAAAGTGGGTTCTAGTGGACACAGGCTCTTTTCCCCCCAATCTTCAGACTTTCTGCCCAGTGCCCTCCAACCCACCCAGGTCCTGTTTTTTCCCCTCACTCCTGGCTCCCTATCACGGTCTCAGACTCCCTGTCTACTCACTCCCACTCTTCAGGCTTCTCATCCCAGCCTCCTTGCCCAGCCAATCCTAGTCTCCCCCTGTGGGTTCTCTGTCTGAGTCCTCATCTTCCCTCACAACTCTCAGTCCCAATCACCAGCTACCCGCTTTTTGCCTGAACTGTCTCTTTCCCACCCCAATGGTTCCTAACTAGTCTCCCTCACTGGGTTCCTCATCCAACGTCATTCACCTCATCCCCTCCTTGTGTCAGTCTCTTTGACTGGCCAATCCCAGTTCTCCCCACCACGTACACCCCAGGTCCTTTTTAATCTGTCTCTCTTCTTCCCCTACCCCTGATCCCCCTCACTGGTTCCTCCTCCAGCCAGTCCCAGTCTCCTCCCCTCACCCCAGCTCCTCATCCAATCCCAGTG